TCTAATTAAAATTAATTAATAGTATAAAATAGTAAAAACACATGAAGCCTCATATCATATAAATCTACCTAAACCTAGCTGCTTAATCGTCTAACTTATTATGGTTCTTGGACAAAAGAGAAGCTAGGAACAACAGCATTAGTTAATGTTAGACACAATAATGGAACAGACGACAACATTAAAATGAAAAGGCTAAAGCAAACAGCTAAAAAAGGGAACACAAGCAAGTGTTGTTAGTAAGTGTAAGCAGTACAAACAAGAACAGGAAAAACAAGGAATTAAAGACATATCATCATCAAAACACTAGCAAAGCAATTGGCTTTTCAAGGCATTTCTGCCTCTTTTGAAAAAAGAGAGAGTCAAGATATGATATTCTTTCCTATAAACAATTGGATGAGGTACCCTTTAGCACTGCAATTCGATAGGCACTTACGAACGCTTGTTATTTGGTTATTATGCGTAGAACTCATAAAGCATTGTGACCTCTCTCTCTCTTAAATGTGTAAAACCCCACCTTCCACCACCAAAATAAATCTCTATTTAATTAATATCATAACAAATTAACTATCAGATTATTCATGTATAAAGAGCCTCCATTAGGGTTTATCCCAAAGTTATTAAACATAACACTCTACATAGCTGAGCCCCTATCTATAACCTAACTCACAGCTAAGGTTACAAGATAGATAGGTTGGTTATGTTAACTTAAATAAATTAAAATGATGTTGTTGTTTTTATTTTAAAAATTAAAATGATATTATTTTAAAAATATTAAATTAGATTTGATTTAGTCTGGATTTTTAAATCTAATCCAAGCTGAATTTAAAATTAATTAGACTCTAAAATGATCTATCAATTCAAACTAGCTTTAATAACAATAACAATAATTTAATAATATTACAAAACATGTAAGATTAATCTTTGATCTTGGAATAAACATCAAACTAATCAAATCAGGTTTAATAACAACGGTAGAATAATATAAAAAACAAGCTCACATACTTTTTTTTTTTTGGTATAAACAAACTCACATGCTTACCACCCAAGCAATAGCTCCAAAGATATAAAATGCATGTTGTGATTAATACTTTGGCTGCACATAATAAGAAAGGTAATGGTTGATTAAATTAAGGGATAACCATATCGCATTGAGTATATAAAGAGAAGGCTTCGCCATAAATGAAGACAAGAGAATGAGGTTGCCTTTCTTAAATCACAGCGAACCACCATTTTCACAATTTCTTGTTATTCTTCTTCTTCTTTTTGTTGCTGCTGTTGGTGGTGGTTGTGGTTGTTTTGTTGCCGCCTTTCCCCTTCAATTGGCTGCTTCGAAACAGCCTCCACTACCTCCACCACAACGTTTTCCTTCAAAACTATCCTTTCCCTCCTCCCTCGCCGCCACCACCACCCCTACTTCCCATCTTTTGTAATTTTTGTTTGGTTGGTGCCTAAAATTTGATCATTCGTGTCTTTTTGAAATTTGAATATAATAAAAAGTTATTGAGAAAGAGAAAGAAATTATGAGAAGGGAAAGGAGATCAAGAAGGATTAATAGAATAGGAAGTTATGCAATATCATCATCAATGTCGATGAGAGATCATCGGCAACAACCTTGTATTACTTGCACAACGTTTAACATTCTTGCACCTATCTACAAACGCTTGAACGTTAACAATGATAAGAACCAGGATTCTCGTGAAAGTGATTACAGAGCCTATTGGCTTGTTAGAAACCAGAAGATTTTGGATTCTTTGTTGCGTGAAAGATCTTCCATTATTTGTCTACAGGTTCCTTCCTCTCTGTCTCTTCATGGTTTTTAATGATTTTTGTTGTTGTTTTGATTTGGTCGTTGATTGTTTCAAATGGGGTTTGATTGGTGTAGGAATTCTGGGTAGGAAATGAAGAGTTGGTCAACATGTATGAGAAGAGATTAGGTGATGCTGGCTATCTTAATTTCAAGCTTGCACGTACTAACAACCGGGGTGATGGTAGGTACCTTTCTTCTTCATCTCTAATATTATAATTTTCTCTAGAATCCCTTTTGTTTATGCATTTAAATCTTGATTTTGATTATATTTTTTTAATGAATTCTGTTATTTCATATCTCACCATATCTTCGAAGATTGAAACCTTTATACAAGTTTTGGATGCCGTCGGACTTTTGTAATCAAACATTATAGGCCATGCTCTAGAGATGGAGTTTGCCGATTTAATCTGCATTTGATGTTTCTAGTTTCATCACTTGTACAATCAACCATTGCATAAGGTTTAATGTCTCTCCAATTTGGAAAAAATGGGGAAGACAACTTGCAAACTTGACACATTCCTCCGCTTCCTGTTTTCTTTTACTATCTTTAGAAGAATTCTTCCATGCTATCAAAAATAGAAATAATTGTCATGATATGAATGGATTGCAGAAGAAACAATGAGCACAGTTTTCCCATGTCTACTCCAGTTTTTGTCGAATCCCTTTGAACATACCATGCCATTGTCTGATATCTCAGGGCTACTGATTGCCGTGCGCAAGGAGCATTTCAGAGTTATTGGCCACAGGGAATTGCTGTTCAATGATTGTGGAGATCGAGTTGCTCAGTTGTTACATGTTGAATTAGCTGCCCCTTATTCACCATCCCGGAACAATGACACTCGACAAGAAATTCTCATTGTCAACACCCACTTGTTATTTCCTCATGATTCAAGTTTGTCTCTTGTAAGATTGAATCAGGCAAGTAGATTTTCCTCTTTTTTTTAAAAAAAAAAAACTTATCTTCTTCACAAGTAACTTCTAGCAATCCTTGGTCTTGACCTGTGTTATATGATTGCAATATCAGGTCTACAAAATCCTGCAATATGTGGAATCTTATCAGAAAGAAAACAAGCTTAGCCCGACGCCTATTATGCTTTGCGGGTAAGTACGGGCTTATACTTCTAATCCTTTCTACAAGTCACACCTGTTAGATTCTTTGCCCTTCACAGAATTACACTCATTTTATTCTACCCTGTACTCTATACTTTCTGCAGTGACTGGAATGGGAGCAAACGTGGGCATGTTTACAAGTTCCTCAGATCACTAGGCTTTGTATCATCATATGATAATGCTCATCAGTACACTGATGCAGATGCTCACAAGGTCCTTATTTTCATGTTTAAGATAGTAAAAATTTATTCTGTTCTGTTAGAAATCATGCTGGTAGTTCATTTATTGAATAAATCTCTCATTCCCTTCATCTTTTGAATGCAGTGGGTTAGCCACCTTAACCATCGCGGAAATATTTGTGGTGTGGATTTTATATGGCTTCTTAATCCCAATAGATACCGAAAGCTACTAAAAACAAGTTGGAGTGAAGCAGTATTTGGCATGTTCAAGGTCAGTTTTTCAATTTCTTTTGGAGCGAACTCGTATACTTGTTGTGTTCTGCGTTGGTTTCCTAATGTCAGGGGCATGAGATTAAAAAAAAAAAAATGCAATTTCTTCAGTTATGGCAGTTGGAAGATTAAAAGGAGAAAACAATCCTTGAGTTTCTATCTCTGACAGTGAAATTTTCCATTTCAGTATCTAGTACGGAGAGCTTCCCTGACAGAAGAAGATGCCTTTGCCTTTCTAAAGGCTGATAATGATAGTGATTGCATTACCTACTCGGGCTTCTGTGAAGCTCTTCGGCAGGGGTGATAAGCGGAATCTATATAAACTCCTATCATTTTTTTTGTTGTGTAAAATGATTATACTCATTTCTTTGACAACTCAAACTGTTTGTTGATTCTGCAGCTTAACCTAACCGGGCATTGTTATGGACTCAACGACGAGGAAACAAAAGATTTGTGGGTGCAGGCAGACATTGATGGCAATGGTGCTCTTGATTATAAAGAATTTCAGGTAACCAACTAAAAAGTGAATGTTTGCATTATCTGTGGTACTCTGATTTTCTGAACCTTTTATTTTTTTTTGGCAATGCAAATGTCTTTTTAGCAAACTGTTCTAGTGCCAGGATTGGCAATCCAGGTTGCTTGAGCTCGAATTATAAGATTGTTTGCAACCCACAAATTAGATGTATTTGTTTATGTTATTATCCTGAACCTGATGCGTGGATTCCATGTTTTTGGCAATCTTAAATAAATACGTGTGTAGCTGCGACATGGCTTGCCATATATTTCACCACAAATCTGTTTCAGAAAAGAAACCAATTCAGCATTAATATTTCTAGAATAATTTTATGAACTATGAAGTTCACTTTGTGGAATGTTGGAACTGCAGCAGCGAATTTGGAATCCTACAAGGTCAGAGCAGAAAGATGATGGAATCCTAGATGATGATCACAAGGGCGGAGAAGAGCAAACCATTGGTTTCAGTGTGGAGAATGCGGTGCTATTCCCTCCTGAAGTAGAAAAAGGAATGTGGCCTGAGAACTACTCTCTTTCTGATCATGCCCGACTCACGGTGGTGTTCTCACCAATAAGAATGCCATGCTCACAAAATTGATATCATGACAGTCCTCAAATGAAAAACAGGCACAGGATTTTATAACATAATGAATGAGCAGAGCATGAGGGGCTACAAACAGGTTGTCAGAGGGGTGCCAAAACAGGCGCAAGAATTATCTAGTGAGAGGCTTCAAATTCTCTTTTAGACGGAGCAATGGCCGATTGATTCTTGCTCCAAATTTAACAGCCTTAGTGTTGAGAGTGTATCATGTTGCTGCAGATTCTCCAACGAACTTTCTCCATTTGAATGTTCAAGGACTCCTGTTGGACTCTAATAGACTGAACTAGCTATGCCAATCTCCTCGTTAGACCCAGTTTCTGCTTCGTTTGCTTGCTCATTGACAATGAAATAGGAAGAAGGGGGGATAAACGAAAGAGAGCAGAGGCGGAATTTTACTCTTGTGGATACAAGCAGGCAGTCATCACTTTCTGTAGATTTTTGTGAGTGCACCTGTACAACAATGCTTCTAGCACTTGGACCACATTTAGGAAGTAGACATGCAAGAATCTTCTTGTAACAGAGTTTTTTCCCTGCCTCTGTAGATCGTCTATACAAATAGTGGTCGTAGTTGATCAAACCGTACAGGGATAAATCTCAGAATCTAATAAATCAACCAATCTATCTCTTTTTCTTTATAATCCATGTCCCAAGCAACTATAGCTGAAAAAAAGCTGGCTTCTTCAAACATTTTTAAACAAGTGAAGACTCGATTTGGATTCATGAGCTAGCTTTGACTTGTCCTGAGGGCAGCCTGTGGAATGGTGGAAGTATGATGATCTTGCTAGTGCCCTATCTATCTAAGGGGTCTATGCCTGGCTTGAAAAGGTAAAAAAATGAAGCCTTTTGCTTCATCTTTTAAAATGATGATGAACTTGTTAGTGCCCCATTTGCTTACGTCGCGACTGCACCGTGAAGTTAGCCATGAACAAAAAGAAAACTCAAAGGGATCAGGGGAGCCCAGAGTTTCAAAAACAGAACCCATTTACCTACCACACACGACCGCCAAGAGCCCGCCTGAGCCCTCACAATTCTTTTTAGATCCTGTGACGGCTCCATGAATCCATAATTTAATTACCCTTTGGAAAGGTTTATATAAAAACAAAAGATAGAGTAGACGAGGCCTGATGCTGGCATGCCATTCCTTTTCTTCATGTCTTTTCATTACCAGAAATTAAAAAAAGAAAAGGAAGAAGAAAAAGTAGGGGCATGCAAAAGCTAACTTTTGAAATTCCACTACCAAAGCAACTTCTTTTCAAGGAACAGAGAAGGATATGCAAAACCCTAATCCAAAAGGTGATGGATTTTAACGACGAGATGATTCCACTAAACAAATGGGGGTGCCAGTAGCAAAAATAATGGCATTTCATTCTTGTCTTAGATGAAAATTATGTTCTTTGTTTTTGGTAGCGTGGGAATCTTATCTTACATTAATTTTTTGGATTAATTTAATTACAATGTTAGTTGTTGATTCAAGGGTTTTAGAAAGAAAAGCAACGGCTGGTCCCCATCTATCTGCTCCAAATACTGTGTCTTTTTCGAAAGCAGGCGATCGTTTTTCAGGTCCAGAAACCAGCGATGGCTCGCTAGGAAAAAGTCTTGTTAAAGACAATAAAGTCTCGAGCCATCACACACAGCTCCACAGATTTCCTGGGGTTCAAGCTTGATGCTTAATGCAGTGTTGGGATGTGATGGGGATGAGAAAACAAGCATGCTGAAATCCAAGTTAAATTTAATTAATCCAATTAAAACATAACCCAGTTTTTTTAAGACAAATCAAAATAATATTGTTTTTATTAAAAAAATTAAAATAATATTATTTTAAATTAACTTGTGTCATGTCAGAAGGGCTTAGGTTAACTTTTTTAGCCGAGTGCTCTTGACCAGGGAGGATGATGTTTCTTGGCACCTTCTTCTTCTTCCTCCTCCTCCTCCTCCTCCTAATCACACACGTCAGGCGCTGAGACCTCACTGTATATGCTTACGCCATCCATATGACGTGGCAACATCTCATTCGCTATCCAGCCCTCTTAATCTTGATTACGGCCCTCAGGCGCCTATCTTCTTCCCTAATCTGGCCCTATTAGATCCTGCACATTTTGAATGGTATTTATGGTAATTAAGAAGAAGACCAAGGGTAAAACATTAGGAAAAAAATCTTATACGCGGTATATACGAGGGTGTCGTGTTTTTTATTTATATTTTTCTCTCAATAAACGCGTTGTTGTATGCTTTCTTTTTCACCTTGATTGCTAAAAAGGCTTCAACTTTCCTGTATTTCCATCTCCTTGAAATCTAAAAAGCAAAAGCCATTAATGGAACCTTTAAATTCCCTACCAAACTGAATCTTTATCTCTCTTTCACTCTCTCTTAATTGGGCCCTTTGTTTCTCTGAAAACCATGGCTGTTTTGTCTTTGAACCTCAATTCACTCCCTTTAGGCTTTAGATTCAGACCATCGGATGAAGAACTAGTAGATTACTACTTAAGACTCAAAATCAATGGTGATGATGATGGAGTTAGAGTTATTCGTGAAATTGATGTCTGCAAATGGGAACCTTGGGACTTACCAGGTAATTTCATACTCTAAAAATACAGAAAAATCTCCCTCTTTTTTTTTTTTTTGATCTTTTCATTTTTTTGAATTCAATATTGAATTTTGAGCTGGGGGTTTTGCTTGTTTTGTGTTGTTGGTGTAGATTTGTCGATCATAAAGAACAAGGATCCAGAGTGGTTTTTTTTCTGTCCATTAGACAGGAAGTATCCAAATGGGTCGAGGCAGAATAGAGCAACAAATGCTGGGTATTGGAAGGCGACTGGTAAGGATAGGAAGATAAAGTCTGGAAATAATTTGATTGGAATGAAGAAGACTCTTGTTTTTTATACTGGACGCGCTCCTAAGGGGAAGAGGACTAATTGGGTCATGCATGAGTATCGTGCTACTGAAGAGGAGCTTGATGGAACTAAACCTGGCCAGGTAAATTAAGTTTTTGGTCACTGGTTTTATGCTTTTGCTGTGAAGTTTAGAGCTTTGATGCATTGATTGATTTGTCTCGTTTGCTGCTCAAATGTTTTTAGGCGTCACAGCCTGTTCTTGACCAATTTAGAAATAATGGTAGTTTTGGATATTTTTTTTTAAAAAAAATTATGATTACTCAATTTTTTAATTAGGTAGTACTAGGTTTATGTTGGTAAAGCTGTTTAGTTCTCTTTGTTTTAGGTTATTTCATACAATGTAGGTTGCATTTGAGTGCTTTGTTGTTTGTTTGATTGATTGGTCGCCTTTGCCACTTCAAGAGATGCTGCCATTATTGATTGACTTTGTTTGGTGCTTGGCAGTGGCGCTTTATGTTTGCTTAGTTTACAAATGATGTCCATGATAAAAAAGATGTTTTAAAATCTTTTGTGCTTCCAGAGTTCCTTCGTCCTTTCTCGTTTGTTTAAGAAACAAGACGAGAGCATTGAAAGTCTGAACTGTGATCAAGCTGAAGCTACTGTTTCATCTCCGACCATGGTTCAATCGTCTCCGGAAGTTACACAATCTGATCAACCACTGATTGAAGCATCTCCAGCTAATACAACTTCTGAGGTTGGACCACCAGTGGAATTTCAAAACAACTCTGGTGCCTGTGAAGGAGGAGATCAATCTGTTGGTCTAGGAGCTTCTGAGGTGAGTTGGAAGTCAATTTTAATACATACAACTTTTCTGTGTAAGAAAAATGCAATAGACTAATTAATTATTTTTGTTTGTTTATGCATTTTGTAGGGGGATATACCCGTGGAAGAAGCCCTAAATTGGTTTATTGACTCCCCGCTAGAGCCTCTAGATTACAAAATCTTTTCACCACTGGACGTGCAGGTCCAATCAGCAATGGGATCTTCCTCCATGTTTTATCCCGGCAACAATGAATTGAGCGCCAGTAATATAGGGCTGCAATTTAATAATGGTGCAAATGAAACGGATGCCGATACTTCTGATTTCGTTAATTCCATACTTCAGCAGCCAGTTGAGTTCTCATATGGGGAGTCTAGCGTTGAGAACATTTCAACAATTCCACACGAGAGCCCTAAGAGTGTGGTCTTTGTGAAGGACTCTGGATCTTACAGCGGCTCAGATGTTGATCTGGCACCAATTGGAGTGAGTGGAAACTACCACATTGCTTCTGCATGTTGCATGGTCTTACTTCTGTTTATTCCCATTTAAATTTCATTATGGTGTGTTATAAATAAATTTATTCCCTTGAGAAATTTAACCATACACATTTCTTCTTATTAAAGATTCAGCAAGAGTTTCACGGTGCTGCCCTTCTTGAAGGGAATGTTGACCGGAAGCCTTCTTCAAGTCTGTTTTCTGTTAGTAATGCGCATCAGCAGCAGATCAATCCGGGTCTGTTACAAAATGAATCTTATGAACAGAACAGTTTAGCGTCAATTTCTGCCACAGACCAGTTCAATAACCTTAACAAAGTAAGCAGCAATACAAATCAAGTAGGTGGTAGTGACATTGATTGGAGTGGAATCAGGATCAGGCCTCGCAATCCACGAAATCAACGATTTGCCAGGAACCTCAATATACAAGGTGATGCATCGAGAAGATTTCTTCTGCAGAGTAAGCTCCAAGCTCATTTCAGCACGAAATCTGGATATTTGAGCTCTGAAGAAGTTGAATCTGATGAGTGTGTTGTGACAAAGGTGAGAAGTCTGTAAAGTAATGCTGCCTTATGTTTGCCTAAATGTGTATTTTGAGTATTATTGAATTACCATGTGCAGGAGTCCAAAGTTACAGAAATGGAAACTACTGTTTGTGGTGGTGATACTAATGACGTTGATGAACAGCACAAACCTTCCCTTGTTGAAGTTAGTGGAAGCCTTGTAGACACGAAGAATAATTGTTCTATACTGAGCAAGGTTTCATCTATGTTCTCGAATGCTTCCTGTGCTCGCAATTCCATCTGGCCAAATACCATGTTCAGGGTAGCTGTCTTCGCGATTTTGTTCGCAGTCGTAGTGAGCAGATGGAGACACTTTATTCTCAATACTGCATAGGGACCTCATCTCCGTGCAGTTTTCCCACTTTAGTTTTTTGTCTTATGGGGATTGGAGGTCACACTATTCATGTGTATTATCTCAACTAGTTAGCTGACTTAAAATATATATTCAGGCTGAATCCTACCTGTGTATAAATGACATTTTACTGGTTCGAGCTGTTTTGTATACCTTATTTGTAGAGAGGTTTTATTTAATGACTATATGGACATCTTTCGGTGTTCGAATAGTTATGGAATAACTGTCTGGATTGTCTGGTTCTCTTAATCCAATCCGACCATTTGCCAAACTCCAGAACTTGAAGTTAATCATTAAACAATGGTTGTGGAAATCAACTCCATTGTACATTCTGGATATCTTTTCTGCTTCAAACATGGTGTCTTTTTGAATGGGTAAGCCATAGTATGGGAAAATTTTAATTTTTTATAGAAAAATTAATTTTTTTGATGTTTATAGAATGTTTTGATATATTGATATTAAAAAGATAAAAAATAAAAAATATTATTTTAATATATTTCAAATAAAAAAATATTTTAAACTGTAACACTTATATTCTCAAACATTCTTTCAAAAAAACATAGTCAATCGGTACTTGTGGAACCCTTAAGGAAGGCATCGGACATGTTCCTTGTCATTAGTTACATCATGCATGGAGATTTCTTGGAAATGAAGGAAAATCGGGGGTAGGACTTTTGTGGTAAGAACAGGACAACATTGCTACGTGAGGACAGAAGCGTTGCAACAAAATGTTTTTATGGGGTGAGAGAGGCTCGAACTCTCGACCTCAGGATCACTCTTTAAGCTATGAGACCTACGCGCTAGCCAACTGCGCCACCACCCCAGGTGTTGGCCTCTTCCAGCACTATTCCATCAAATAGCGAAGCCCGATAGGTTGTCCCCTCCCAAAGATTTTTGGTTTGACTTGAATCCTCTCGTTTTGTTCATTAATCCAGTAGAACGTGAAGCTTGTTTCTTACTTTGAGAAATTGAAATGCAGTAGTGCTAGTTATAAAGATGGGACCTTTTCTGAATTTGATACTATGCCAAATCCTTCTTTCATTACTTATCTGTCTTGACTCAACTCAGGCCACTTTTGATCCACAAAGCTATAGAGAACAGATTCTAAGCCTATCACAACAAGATAAAGACTGGTTAATAACCATTAGAAGACAGATCCATGAGAACCCAGAACTTAGATTTGAAGAATACAACACTAGTGCTCTTATCAGACGTGAACTTGATAAACTTGGCATTTCTTACACATACCCAGTTGCCAAAACTGGGATTGTTGCTCAAATTGGCTCTGGTTCTCCTCCGGTTGTTGCTCTTCGTGCTGACATGGATGCACTTCCCTTGCAAGTGATGTGCTTTTTTAGTCTTTTTTATTTTATTTCTGGGTTTGAGGATTGGAACTTTTTGCTTTATTGATTGTGATTGTGCTTTGTTTTTGGTGTGCAGGAGCTTGTGGAGTGGGAGCATAAGAGTAAGGTAGATGGAAAAATGCATGGTTGTGGTCATGATGCACATACCGCTATGCTTCTTGGTGCTGCTAAGTTGCTTAATGAAAGGAAACATATGCTTAAGGTAAGTTAGTTTGTTTTTTCTTCGTGGAGGTGTGGTTTTTAGACAAGTTCTTGTGTTTTTAATCCTTCTGTTGGTGATGATGATGCTTTCCTGGTATTGTCTGGTTTGTTGTGCTTTTTGATATAGTTGAAAGAACAATCAAGGTTGTAATTTGTTCGCATTAAGGAACATTTTTCTCATGTCAATGATGTCGGAAGCGGAATGGTTCTTGATTATTAGTTAAAATTATGCTTTTGCCTACTTTGAGTGGTATTACAATAAGAAGTTATTGTGGAAAGATAAAATGGCTCATAATCCACTCATTCAGTGTTTGCAAGGCCATTGCAGCAATTGAGTAACTCCCTTTTATTCCATTCTAAAGGGAACTGTGAGACTTCTTTTCCAGCCAGCGGAGGAGAGAGGTGCTGGTGCATCACATATGATAAAAGAAGGTGCCCTTGGTGATGCTGAAGCGATATTTGGAATGCACATTGATTACACAATACCCACTGGAACCATAGCATCCTTGTCTGGGCCAGTCTTAGCTGCTGTATCCTTCTTTCAAGTAAAAATAGAAGGCAAAGGTGGGCATGCTGCAGGACCCCATAATGCCGTGGATCCGCTTCTTGCAGCATCATTTGCAATTTTAGCACTGCAGCAGCTCATCTCGAGAGAACTTGATCCCCTCCATAGTCAGGCATGTCCCTGTGATCCATCTCTTCTAGTAGTGTTCATTTTACCTCGCATGATAATTCCCAATGCAGGAATCTAGATGATCCATTAAAAGAACAGAGAGTTCCTCTGTTAGCTCACCTTCAAATGTTCATGCATTTAATTCTCTGCCCTCCTCTTTGGTCTATCTAACTCTATTAAAACAGTACTGACTTCAACAGGAAGTTCCTCAGCAATTGTTTTCTTTTTCATTTTTGACATCCTACAGTTATTAGGAGAAAATGGTGAAGCAGGTATGTCTCTGAACTGATGTTTTGTTTTTGGCTGGCTGAAGGTTTTATCGATCACTTTTGTCAGAGGGGGTACTGCCTTGAATGTAATTCCATCATATTTTGAATTTGGTGGCACTTTGAGGAGTCTTACGACTGAGGGCTTACTTCAACTCCAGCAGAGGTTGCAAGAGGTAAGGAGCAGTAGTTAACCTTTCCACTTTCACTTTGGTGGAAGAAATCATACCAAGTGATCAATTGTTTATTTTCCATGCTCTCAATCCCCGTAATGTTCCACGTTGCTGTATTTTCCTCTTTCAGTGAAATATGTATAAAAACAGAATTAAATATTTTCTTTCTCAAGCCTACAAGTTAAATGTCAATAAATGCTGCTCCTAGTTTCATGCCTGGCTGTCCTATATGAGTCTCAAGAGGGACTGGCAATTTTAGTTACCTGCGCAGTTTCCATTCTATGCATTGGGTCTTATGATCTTGGATTTTATCATTCATATGCCACGCTACTAACTGCCAATTGAATGATAAAATCTTCGAAGTAGCTGCTGGTAAGTGAATCATGCTCATACAATTGGAACTCCTTGTAGGTTGTTGAAGGCCAGGCAGCTGTACATAGATGTCATGCGTACATAGACATAAACGTAGAAGGTTTTCCCTTCTATCCTGCTACTATGAACGATGAGAAATTGAATTTGCACGTTGAGAGGGTCAGTGGACTTATTTTTGGCCCTGAGAATGTCAAGATGGGCGAGAAGGTGATGGCAGGTGAGGACTTTGCCTTCTATCAAGAAGTGATTCCTGGAGTCATGCTCAGCATTGGAATTAGGAATGAAAACGCGGGTTCAATTCACTCCCCACACTCACCTTATTTCTTTCTTGACGAGGATGTTCTTCCGATTGGGGCAGCATTGCACACTGCCCTAGCAGAGATTTATCTGAATGAGCACCAACAATCTGCTGCACAGGTAGAGAATGAGACACCATAATAGCATGGAAAATCATGAATAAGTGAATAGTGCTCCATGTTTTAAAGTCCCTATATTCAGTGACAGAATATGTAAACACCAGGGGGAAAAAAACAGTAATTAAACTCTTGATTTTGGATCACCACCCAGTTTCTCTTCCTTTTTCAGCACAGGAGTCGAGGCCATGCAAGCTGAACACTGTTGAGTTTAAGAATCTTTTGGCTGGTGGAAATGTTCCACTTCTATGAGCCGTTGTTACCATATCAAAGAATTCAAAATGCACAAATGATGTCTTTACTGCTCCGCTAAAGCTTGTGCAAGGTGCATGAACCCAGCAAGCAGCAATAATCATTATTCTCATACAGGCAGACATAGAAAGCTGCTGTAACATTCTCTAAACATACAAGGGGACGATGGTATGGAATGGTCACATGTAAGATAAGTGGAGATCCATATCATTGCAGTACAAGATACATCAAGTAGGGCAGCATACAAATGAGCAACATTTGATTCCAAACACCAATGAAGATTTCATGGCCTATAACATATAACAAAGGATTGCTGCGGGCCTCCTTCCACTTCACAATTGTGCTCAGCACGTTGCTTGCGTTCTTTGCATGTAGATGCCTATTATTTCTGATCACACATGGACTCCATTTTAGAGTTCCTAGAATGCAGACTCGATTTCTTCCCTAACCCCACCAAAACCAGTCAAAGACCCCATCATGATGTATCATTACACTCCATGTCTTTTCACCATGGAACAAGACAACGCATGTTGTTTTTTTTTTTTTTTTTTTGGCATAAAGTGAATGTCGCATGATTCTCAAAGGACGACTTGGTGCCCGTATTAAAAGAGAAATATATGATAGAACATGTTTGTAAAGCAGCCTCCATGTTCTCTACGAACAAATCCATGAACATACAGAACGCTAATGGCACAATTCCTGTTGCCTTGGCGTTGAAAGATTCCAACAGCAATATACCGATTTCGAAGATCTTCATCTCATTAAAATTTACACAACAGAATTAAGTCATTCTAGACAGACAATCTGCACGCGCATTGTGCCTCTATATTTATATATTCCCCAACCATGTATAACTTCACTCTTTCTTGCACACTCGTGATAGCGAGGAAAGAATCTGATCATAGAATGAGAATAGCTGTTTGAAATATATATAAATTTAGACGAAGCAAAAGAATAATTATTCAATAATATATACAACTCTTAGATTTTTTTCTATTACTTTGAATAATAATCAAAGGAATCGAATCCAAAATCTTTCCTATTCACCTGCTTTAATCACTGACTAATAATGCTATTGGACCAAGTCTTTTATATATATATATATATATAGTAATGCTCTTATTTATTTATTTATTCTATTTTAAGTTAGATATTTTTGAACTCTCCAAACATAAAAATAAAGACAGTATTTTATATTTTAAAAGTATAAAAATTATTTTAAAAACAAATTTATTTTATAATTTTATCTTTATTATTTCAAACACGTTTTTGTTTTTTCTAATCTTTTTTTTTTGGTAGAATATTAACAAAATATGATTAATTTTTTATTATTTTTAAAAAAGGCTAATGCAATTATGAAAAGCAAAATCATGTGAAATCAGGTACATGCAGCAAAAACAAAGAGTGGTTGAGTTTATGATTCTTTAAGCTAAGCAATAATGTAGATTCTTCTAACCACCCATCCTAGCTAGCAATATATAGCTGGGAAGAACTCCTTAATTAGAATCTTATAATTAATCATCCATCCCATTATCTTAATATAAAGTTCTAAATGATCATCCTTAAATCTCTTTCTGTGTTCTGGAAAAGTGGTGTAAATCAATCAAATCATAGCCTCATAAGCAGCCTATCATCCCTTTAAGCAAAAAACAATTGTCTGCCACACAAAATCTCTACCTTTGTTGATCAAAAAGCATTAGAATAATGGAATATGGCCAAACTAAATTCAAACTAAATTCCCCTGTGGATGGCTCTTTTTGGCTCGGCTTTCAAACCTTGCATCAGACTGATATTGTTACCTGTTCGTGTGTGTGGAAATTCTAGTGGCCGAGAGAGACCAAAAGCTTAGACATTAAGTGGGGGATCGAGCGTGGTGTCCCTTGCCAAGTCAAAGAACCAAAATCCATTTTTACACATATTAGACGATGTAAGTTTATGCATCCAATTTTTGTTATTTGTTTTTTTAACCAAAATCCTAGTTGTCTTTGGTTTTGATAGTGTAATGGTGAAAGAAGTCAAAGAAGTTATTTAATCTAAAATCTTAATGTTTTATATTAGATTTTAAAATATTATGTATATTATTTTTTCATATATTTTTTTAAATTAAAATTTTTTAAACTTAAAACTTTCATACATTTATACTATCTTATATTTATTATTTTATTAAATAAATAAAGATAATAAAAAATTAATTTATTAAAACTATGATAAAATGCAAAATAACTAATTCAACTAAAAAATTTAAGTTATCAAATAATATTTTAATATATAATTTATATGAATAAAAATGCCAAATCAATCCCACTTTCATAAGGAGATTAATGTTCAAGTTTATAGAAACCATTGCCCTATGTAAGATCCTTTCGAAAGCTTACATTAACACGCCAAAAAAAGAAAAAAGTAGAAAAGGGTTAGTTGAGGATGATATATATATATATATATATATATATATATAGTGGATTTAAAAAATAAAAATATTTATTAAAAAAATTGATTTATTCATCATGTCATATCAGATTTTGATATATCAAATTATAATGCCATCCATGGTGGTGTTAAGTGCAGCAAGCCGACAATGTCCATCTGACATATATAGCAATTTAAGTGTGTAAACATCTTAATTTACACGCAAAACTGATCTCATTTTCGTTAATTTCATCCACCCCCACTTTATATATATATATATATATATATATATATAAAGTGTGTGTGTGTGTGAGGGAGAGATTAGGAAATTAAAAAAGATTTATTTTGCTTAAACCCAAATGCGTTTGGAAAGTTCATCCTAGTTAAATATTGGGAAAGTACTTTATTAATAAATTATATAGGATTTGCCGATACGCTATCTAATTAATAACATTAATTAGATGTCATGACCATCATTTAATAGACTTGTGAGTTCTAAATTGTTTAATTAATTAAATTTCTCGACATTTCCAAGAAATATTGCCTTGTGATATAATTAATTTCCCATGATATGATAGCAACATATACCTTTAATTAATTTAAATTTGAGTTTCTTTCATTGTTTGATTGAATCGCCACAGTAATTTAATTAATGAAACCTGACATGATTAAATAATGTTATAAGTAGGGTTTGATTCATGAAACCCGACGTAATTCATTGAATAGAACAAATTACATTCATTAAAAAAAATTAAATTAAATAGAACAAAACTTATATAGGACTGTTTGATAAAATATAGATTTTGTTTCATCTTATTTTTATATCTTTCATGAGATTAAAAAAAAACATAGATAATGAAGACATGTTCTATTGTTTTTTTATTTTAAAGAAAATAAAATGATTACTTTAAAATTATTTTAAAGATATTTATCTCTAATAAATATATTTTTGTTTTTTATCAAAACAATAACAAAAATAATATGAATATATTGAAACCTAAAAAAAAGAAGAGATACACTTGATTGAAAGACAAAGAGTGTGTACGAGATTATGAAAGTTTTTGCACTTGCAGTTTAAAAAAAAAGTTAAAAAAATATTTTTAGTTATAATTTAAAAAAATAAATTTTAAAAAATATATATTTGGATAAAAATGATGTGAGATAAATTTTTACATATAAAATAAATCAAAAATAATCTTCATGAATAAAAAATATGGTATTTTAATTTTTATAAAATTAAGATTTAAAATATAATTATTTGTAAGTTTAAGTAAAAAAAAATAAAAAAAATAGAAGCCATCTAGTTAAGAACTGTTCGGGATTATGATAGTAGAAATGGTTAAAAGTGTTTTTTATTTAAAAATATATTAATTTTTATTTTATTTTTTAAAAATCTCCAAATACACCTTTAACCAAGCAGATTTAACTGCTAAGATACATAACAATCTCGGAGTTAATAATTGCATATAGAAGCAAATAGTCTATTAATTACGGCTAATTAATCACTTACATGAGTAATGCGAAAACTAACTAGAAATTAAATTGATGTGAGTTTCTTACATGAGATCCAAAATGGAACACGCAAGAAACTAGTAATCCATCCAGGTTGTGAAAGTCACCCAGCTGACTCATCACAGCGGTCGGTGGTGCTGGAATTATGCATCAATGTCCTTTTCAATGTCTAGCTAGCTTAATTACTTCTCTTTTCCCATCTCTCCCTTGGCCTCACCAATTGATCATCTCCCCTTACTTTCTCTATAAATTTGCCAACCCTACTTCACTGCTTTCCTCCCCCGCCCTTCTTCTACCTCTTGATTAGCCTTGCAGGTTCAAAAGAATTCTGAAGGAAATAATTTTGTAGTGACGCTTTTGTCTCTTTGTCCATTTAGTGGCATTCCATGTGCCTCTGAATCACATTGCTATACTTTGTGTTATTAATTAAACCCCACCGTCCAATTAATACATCACTCACTGTCTCTGACACTCTCCTATACGTATATAAACTCTGACCCCTTGCTGGTCTTGATTATCCAGGCTTCTCTCCCTCCCATTTTGTTGTTTAGTTCTTATATTAAGTGGTTCATCACCTCATTCTCAGCAAGAAGTTTGCTTTAATTAGTTGTTTGTGCAAATGGGGGAAGAAGCTAAGCAGGTAACTAATATTTATATATATTCGATCCATGCATGGTTTTTTGTGTTATTTTTGGTTTTTGAAAAGTTATGGGGGCTTGGGTCTTGTTCATTAATGTGATCGTGTTTGGTTATGAATTGATAGGAACAAGCAAAGGCAGAGGCTAAGCCAGAAGAGAAGAAGGAAGAAAATGTAGAGGAGAAGAAGGAGGAGAAACCAGCAGAGGAAGCAAAGAAGGAAGAACCAAGGCCACCATCTCCGTTTGTCTTGTTTGTGGACTTGCATTGTGTGGGGTGTGCCAAGAAGATTGAGAGGTCCATCATGAAGATTAGAGGTCTCTATGTCTCTCAATTTAATCAGTAAAGGAGCAAAAAAAAAGAGAAGAAAACTAAATAAATAAAGCTCGAAATTAATGAATTCTAACAAATTTTCGTTAACTGCAGGTGTGGAAGGGGTTGTGATGGACATGGCACAAAACCAAGTGACTATAAAGGGGATAGTGGAACCTCAAGCTGTGTGTAATA